ACTGTGTGGTCTGGCACAAAGGAGGGGGGGTCGAATGAGGGCGAGGAGGCATGGGCGAGATATTAGGCCTAGGCCTCATGGAACCAGCATGTTCACTCTCATCGTCGGTCGTATCTACATCTGAGGGCTGTGTGTAGTCATGATCAATGTCGGAGTCGTCAATATCAGATTCATCACCATCCAGGAACAAATTCTTATTAATTTCATCCTCGGTCAGAGGTCGCGATGAACGCCTTGTTGAACGAGGTCGGTCGATGGAACTTGATGCACTCGCCATGGTGTCCGCTGGGTAGCTGAGGCCTGTACACAATGGTGGCCTACACTGGATTTTTTCCCCAGGTGACGTTTGTTTATGGTCGGCTGCGGCTCGCCAATGACTACCACTATCCCACGCCCGGGGTAGTGGCAGCGTTTAAATTATAGCGCTAGACACGAAAACAGCTATTAATGCATTGCAAGGTTTCAGTTTTGTTACTCAAATCATATACAGTGGTACCTCAGAATATGAGTGTCCCTGTATGTGAGTTTTTCGGAATACGAGCCGGATTTCCTCAGAAAATGTGTCTCGGAAGGTGAGGGTTACCTCGGAACGCGAGTTTGTTGATACGCGTTCAGGCCGACCTAGCGCGTGGTGATACGGCGATCGTCGCCCCTCCGCCCGTCAGTTCACCATTGTCTCCCACCCAGTGACTATCCCACATCAATTCTTCACCCGGATTTTCAGTGTTCTGTTGGATTTTTGGTCATTTGACTATACAATTTGTTATTATATATCTCACCATGGGTCCCAAGAAAGCCAGTGGTAAGGATCAAGGCAAGAAAGCCCATGTGAGGATGACAATAGAGGAGAAACAAGAGATCATTCGGAAGCATGAGAACGGTTCACGTGTTATTGAACTTTGTAGGCAGTACAACAAAGCCACATCAACAATATGCACTATACTTAAGAAGAAAAATGAGATTATGAGTGTTAAAGTGGCAAAAGACACAAGAACAATGACGAAACAAAGACCACAAATACTTGAAGAAGTAGAAAAGTTGTTATTAATTTGGATACACGACAAGGAATTAAGGGGTGATAGTGTTTCGGAGGCCATGATTTGCGAGAAAGCCATGGTATTGCACGAAGACCTTCTAAAGAAAACCCCTGCAACGAGTGATGCAGATACAAAAGAGTTTAAGGCAAGCAGGGGTTGGTTTGAAAAATTTAGAAAAAGTGGTATCCATAGTGTGACAAGGCATGGGGAGGCAGCCAGCTCAGACAAACCAGCAGCTGAAAGATTTATTGAGGAATTTAAAGAGTTTGCTGAGGCTGAGGGATACCTACCGCAACAAGTGTTTAACTGTGACAAAACAGGACTGTTTTGGAAAAGAATGCCTAAGAGGACATACATTACCAAGGAGGAAAAATCCTTGCTCGGACACAAGCCTATGAAAGATAGGTTTACGCTTGTGCTGTGTTTAAATGCGAGTGGCGATTTGAAAATTAAACCCTTGCTAGTGTATCATTCTGAAAATCCAAGGGTTTTCAAACAGTATAAAGTGCAGAAAACCCATTTGTGTGTGATGTGGAAGGCTAATAAAAAAGCATGGGTGACTAGGCTTATTTTTTCGGAGTGGGTGAATGAAGTGGTGTGCCCTGCCATAGAAAAATATCTGCAGGAGAAACATTTGCCACTCAAAGCCGTGCTTCTCCTCGACAATGCTCCTGCTCATCCTCCAGGCTTGGAAGATGATTTGTTGCCCAGATACAATAAATTCCTCACAGTTAAATTCCTTCCTCCTAACACCACCACTCTAATTCAGCCTATGGACCAGAAAATCATAGCGAATTTTAAGAAACTTTATGAAAGGGCACTTTTCCGGAAATGTTTTGAAGTGACTGAAGCCACAAACCTCACTCTCAAAGAGTTCTGGAAACACCATTTTAACATTAGTGCTTTAAAACTCATTGACAAAGCCTGGCAAGAATTGACTCAAAGAACCCTGATCTCTGGCTGGAGAAAATTGTGGCCTGAATGTGTGAGAGAACTAGACTTTGAGGGGTTTGAGCCTGTAAATGATGCGCCTATTGTTGACGAAATTGTTACTCTGGGCCGGCAAATGGGCTTGGAATTGGATGATGATGATGTGGAGGAGTTGGTGGAAGAACACAATGAAGAACTGACCACCGAAGAACTCCAAGCCCTTCAACAGGAACAGCAAGACAATGCAGCTGATGATTCTACAGTGGAGGAGGATGAGGCAGTAGCGAATGTCCCTTCTGCAGAAATTAGGAAGGTGTGTCAGATGTGGGAAGAGATTCAAACAATTGTTGAAAAGACTCACCCAGAGAAAGCTGTAGTAGGCCGTTGCCTTAATCTTTTCAATGACAGACATGTGATGCCTTACTACAAAGACAGCTTGCGAAGAAGGGAAAAGCAAGTTTCCATGGACAGATTTGTGGTGAGAAAATCGAGCAGTGAGCCACAACCAGGACCTAGTGGCACTCAGATAAAACGTGCCAGGGAGTGCACACCAGAAAGGTCCTCACTGCCTGATGTGATAATGGAAGGGGACTCCCCTTCCAAACAGTAACTCCTCTCCTCCTCCCCCCCTCCTCACCATCTTCCATATGCCTTCAGCATTTAACAGCAAGGTAAGTAATAACTTGAACATAGTTTTGTAGGTTTATTTAGATGAATTAGGTATAAAAATTTAGTTTGATGTGGGGTTTTTGGGGTAGTCGGGAACGGATTAATTCATTTCCCATTATTTCTTATGGGGAAATTAGCTTCGGAATACGAATTTTCGGAATACGAGCCGTCTCCAGGAACGGATTAAACTCTTAAACCGAGGTACCCCTGTACAGTATATATGTATTGCGCAGTCTAAGGGTTAAACTGGCGATGATTTGCCTCCGGTGACTTATATACTAGGACAATAACTACATTTAAGATCTCTATTTTGATTATCAGCACTTCCACCATATCATTTGTGGTGTTTAGCAGCTCAGTACAGATGAGTGTGTCTTTGGTGTAGAGGCTGACCCCACCCTGCAGCCAGTGTTTCCTGTCACATCTGAAAACATTGTACTATTTCACCATCATGGTAGTCCTTGGTGAGAGTTTCTGTTAGGGCTGCAAACACTGCATTTGCCTCATGTAGGAGGCCATCTATGAATTGCACTTTGTTAGATTTGCATGTTTTTATACCCTGAATGTTGGCAAATAAAAATGATGTTATGTTTGTGTAAGTGCTGGATGCTTTACATGGTGTTACTATCTGAGGCTCTGGTAAGGAGGCCACTGTGTTTGCGTCCTCTCCAGCATTTGACCGAGTTGGTGGTAGAGTCTGGATATTTTTAGCCATTCTTCTCGTCCTCTTGCTAAAAAATCCTCCTGGTAAGTAGTGGTAAGTAGTAGTGGTAAGCAGCCTGTTTGGCTGCTTTCCTCGAGGCGGTTTGTTGATCTTATTAGCCTGGTACCCTTTATATGTAAGCTGGACATTCCATATTCAAGCACTCTTTCCTATCTAAGGACTTCTTGCAAAGTTCTGGGTGAAAAAATTCATAGCTTTCAGAGTATTTACCTGTACTAAGGAGGATTCTTTACTTTCTAGGGTGATCGTACTTACATGTTCCATTTGTTCTTCCCGATATCCCGTGCTCACAGGTACTGTACCTCATTTATAATAACGACAGGTTTCGGGCCCTTGTTTTGTTTGTTTTCCTTTGCCAGAGCCACACACTGCTGTGGGGCTGCCACCGACACCACCCCCGGTGTCGGTTGGTGCTGTGCTTGGATTTCAATTTCACACCCACAAGAATTTGTCAGACTTTAAATTGCAGACGGTATAGCCAATCTTGAGGCGGTAGGTCTCTGACGTCAGACACCTTAGAGCCGATGGGTGCCTGCTCAAGTGGACGGCACCAGTACTTAGCCAGGATTAGAGCAGGTGGGACCTCGGTGGGCTGGACTTATCTTATTACCTCACTCAATAAAGTTCTGTGAAACAACCTTGTATATTCTCTACAGTCCCAAGTAAGAGCCATCACAATACTCTAACAAGCAACAAAGCCGAATAAATTGCTTTGTGGTTCATTTTGGTGCATAAAAAAACAGTGCTGAATGTAAAGAAATGGAAATTTCTGGGTATATCCTGGTGGCTCCCTGAAGCTATCTCACTTAGTTCGCACATAACTACTGGAATGAATCAGCTGTGGAGTTCAGTTTGGCCTACTGGGGACCAAAGCAACAACCTGGACTCCCCCTCAGATGTGAGCAGGAAGCAGACTAGTATGTCAAAATTTTAGGAGTGTGTACATATAGAAACCTAATCTCAACATCATTACTAGGTCATTTGTAGAATAACACATGGACCCTTGGTATGTACCATTATTATTTTTACTTATATCTCTCCTATACTATCATGACTTTAGGTTACAGTACCTAGCAAAGAGCACCAAATTATATCCAAAAGTTTTGGACATCATGTTATTAATTTTTGTGGGCAAGAGGGTACACCTCGTTATCCAGACAAACCTGGTTTTTTTGCAGAGTTCAGTCCCGATTGGTTCGGAAAGCAGGCCAGCCTCTGTATCTGGGAGTTGGGCGACTGTTGTGGGTTGCATCCTGGGAAAGGTCAGTTGTTGGCTTTGGTGGGGTAGGGGGATCTGGATAAGCCTAACTGGCTTCCTGTCCCCCAATGAATGGGAAACTAAAATGTTATCTCCAATAAAGTTAGCTTGTATTTTTTCCTCTACCTTCTTATCAATAATTTGAGCTCTACTCAACTAAGCATCTAATAAAGTTCAAAGATGTACTGTATTAATACCAAGATATAACAAGAAATAACACCAGCACTAATCATGCCATATCCTTTCATTAAATAAAAACTTCATAAACAAAACAGAAATCACTGATATGCTTATAGTCATGAGAAACCATTTATAATAAATTCTAGCTAAATACTATATTTTATTTTTAAAGATTAAAAAGATGATTTAATAAGACAGCTACCTTTAATGAATGGGATTTATAGAAGGTGGAGTGGTAGTTATTGTTCTTACAAAATACACATCCTTTAGAAGTAGTAGTCACTGGAGTCATGACTGGAGTTTTTTGCTGTGTGTAAGCATGTAACATACTTCCATCTTGTAAAAGATGTCCGGCATCCGTTGCTCCAACAATCATCGACAGTTCTTGCATTAAAGCAACCAAGTCTGTAAACAAAAAACAGTGTTGTATGTAATGAAACGCCATTTTCTGGCCAAATCCCGGAGGCTCCCCCGGAGCTATACAGGCTGAATGGATATGTATAACTTTCTGGCATCAGTCAATGTGCATGGAATTCTTGCCTACCGGGGACCTCGAACAAGAACCTCGCCCCCTCAGAGAGGCACGAGGAGCAATGGCTTATAGAAACCCCCCCATGTGGTTGGGAACATTCCATATCTGCCATCGACCGGGTCTGGCACCCAGAGCGGAAGATGCCCAAAAACAAACCCTTATTCTGGTGGAACTATTGCTAACAAAAGTCGAATGAGTGGACAGAACTCCCCAAACGAAAATTAGCAAACGGGCATGACGTCGTCATATTGCCGCACCACTGTCTGCACAAACTCCCCCCCCCCCCCGCCCGGAGGGGAAAGGGGGAGCCCCAGACCCTCTCTCTGGCGATCGAAGCACCAGTTCTTAGATTGGATGTCAAAAACACGTGAAATACACCACAGAACAGAGGGAGGGATGCTGGGGAGCCTACAAGACTCGCCAAGAAAATGGCCTTTCATTACATTCAATGCTGGTTTCTGGGGGGGAGCCCCATTGGCTCCCAGGAGCTACCTACCCAAAGACAAAGAAAAACAGGGACTTACCCGGGAAACAGTCAGTCCTCACTCCTTAACGCGAAGTTGAGACAACTGGCTGCAACCGCCGACCCAATGTAACACAGGCCCTACCAGGTCCAAGGACATTGACAATTTAGCGAGCAGCCAGAACCCCGTTTGACCTCCAAAAACCCCCGGGCCTGAATGTCAACTCAAGACATGCTGCCAAAGACGGCAGCCAAAGCAGCAAACTACGAACGTCGTGGGCACGAGGATAAACCGCAGGCTGGCTAGACTTAATAACCCTGCGGACGACCTGAGAGACCCGAGCCCTGGAACACGGAAGAAGGGAAACCGGATCAACCCAAGGCGCATCCCTGGCCACTGAAGCAGTGGAACACAAATAACGGCGAAGAGCTGCAACTGGACACAACACATGATGCACCCCCAGCCTGAACAACCAAGCATCAATGACCCAAGGACCCTTCCGGAAAGAAGCAGTCTCATTCTTCACCAGAAAAGGAGACGGCTGCAACCGAACAAACCTACCACCAGGACCGAAGGAGCTGAAACCTCTGCGCCGGAGGAGAGCATGAAGCTCCCCGAACCGACCCCCAGAGGCCAGTGCCTACAGGAAAAGAGCCTTGGAAAAAAATCCTGAACTGAAGGGGCCACCACAAACGAGGAGAAGAGAGAAAAAGAGAGCACCCGGTCCAAAGACCAGGACAGCTCAGGAGGCGCATGAGCAGAACAGAGGTGAAACAACGCACGAGACAGCTTGAGGAATGGGGTAGAAGTAACATCAACACTGAAAGCAGGCTGGGGCGGCTCTGCCAGAGACGCACGATACAGGGTGACAGCATTCGGCATAAGATGACGGTCCTGGAACAACCACGAAAGGAAGAACAACACAACCCTATCAGAGACCGAAGTATACCTACTCAGTGATATGAAAAATCCATAAGGACCGCCAAGAAACTTCATACTGCTGCCGAGACAAAGCACGCAGGTGGAAAATAAAAAACGAAGCCACCTGCACCCCATATAAGTGATGATAGACTCGAGTCAGAAACTCCAGACATGAAGACTCGAGGAGAAGAACGAACCAGCCTCGTACCAGGCTGGACCGATCTGCTGAAAGAGGGGGAGCCGCGGGAAGACCCTCGGGGTTTGGACACCGAGCAAGCAGCGCCTGAAACCAAAGCCGGGCTGGCCACCAAGGAGCTAGAAGGACAACTCTTCCCTGGAAAGAAGGGAAAGAAGACAGGAGACATGGCAGACTGGGTAGGAAGGAGGAAAACTTCAAATGGAGAACCAGGAGGGGGCCCCTTCGGGACAGAACGTAAAGGAACAGGGAAGGAGGCGGTGGGCGTATACGGGTCTAAGGCCTGGAAACAGTTGAGACTGAGTAAGGTGGGAAGGACGAGGAGAGGTAGAACGCAACACGCGAGCATAGAATACGCCAGTGAAAGGGGTGAGACAGCGAACATGGCATCTCACTTCAGGAAAAGACAGATGATCCCGGTGTTTCAAGTTGAGGATGGCTTCCTCAAGTTGTAGTGTATACACAAGTGGGAGAAGGTAGGGTGGGCCTCACCACAATTGAGGCAGCGAGCCTGGGGAGAAGATCACTCGGACTTAGAGTGATCATCGTCCTCACACATAGGGCACAGATACACAGTACTTGTGCATTTGAGGACACATCGCTCGAACTTCTTGCACTTATTGCAAAGTCTAGGAGAGGGAATGTACTCCTGACGGAGCATCTGGCACCAGCAAGAATTATAGAGGGCGGAAGGGTCATACTATCAATGGTGATTTTTACAACTAGAAGGGGCTGACAGCGGCGACCACGAGGGGGTCGAGTGAACGTGTCCACCTGGAGGACCAAATGGCTTCGAGGATATGTTTAATATCCTCATGGCAGTTATTTAGGTTCCTAACACCAATTAAAACATGGTGCAGGAGGAGAACAGTGCCAACACTGGCATTTAACTGAGCATTTTTGGAGACCCGAACAGGGGTCTCCCCAATGCAGGACAATGTGGCTAAGCAGGCAGCTGCATCCTGAGAAGGAGCAGCAACAACACGAGTTCCAAGACGTGTGGCGTTAAAAGTAACAGAGGCATCTGCCAAATTAACAAGGTGTTAATAGTGGGGAGAAATCGTCAGGAGTAGAAGAATCCAGATGGTGGAGATCAAAGTATTTAGCACATGTAGCAGGACCAAACAAGGCGTGGTACATATTAGTATGGGAGGTGATCGTGCAAGTGCGGCCGTGGTGGAGACGGCATTTAGAGCCCCAGAGAGAAAGGGGGGTTAAAAGGCGTAGTCACAATGAGAGACAAGCCGTGCCAAGGGACGAGGTGGTCACCACTGGGGGCTTGGGACTCGACCTTGCCACAGAGGAGGGAGGGGAGCAGAAGGTAGTAGTCCAGTCTGGGCCCAATATAGCGGGGGCTATAGAGCCCGGTCTTCCATCACAGTCCGACTCAGGGGCCTGGTCGCCCACCCCATGAGCCTGGGTAAGAGAGATCATGTCAGTATCCACATATGTATTTTAAAAGGTCTGGGGCCTGGAACCAAGGAATACCAACTACCAGGGCAGCCAGGAAGGCCGAGCACTGGCCAGTGCAGGAAGGGGCGCGTCGTCCCAAGCGGTCCTCACCCTTTTTAACACTTTCGCCCGTCGACGACTTAGCATCGAGTCCTCCGTAAAACAGGGGCACGTCCGGCGAGGACTCAGCATTGAGGCCTCCGTGCAGCAACAATAGCGGCGTTTTCGGAAATTTCTTGCTGCGGTTTTGGACATTATATGCATATACTCTTGTAGTGAATTTCATTGCGAATACATTGATACCAAAATGAAAGTCCTAGGACCAGAATTGAGGTAACAAAGTTAAAAACAGAATACCCATTTTATTGCACTTTATTAGCGCTCACGGGGGTAACGCTCTGTCACTTTCCCCTGCTTGTTGTGGATGGTATGCCGGGCTTGTGGACTTTATATTTGCATACTCCTGTAGGGAATTCTATTGCGAACACAATGATACCAAAATGAAAGACTTAAGACGAGAATTGAGATGTCCAAAGTGAAGAGTGTTCACATTTTGTTGCTCTGGCTCGCTCCCGGGTAACACGCTCTCACTTTCTCGCTGGGCTTTTGGACTTTATATGTATTTAAAATGCCTAAATGAGAGCAGGAATGAAGAAGAAATCAATTTTTTTTTCTACAAAGTGATAGGGGTAGGTAGACCAGTAAAGTGGTACATAAAGTCAAACCAACAAAAATCATTAGACAGGGGGGGGGGAGTGAAGAATAAGAAGGGGGGAACAAGTTCCTGAAAATTGCATACACCAACATAGATAGAGTGAGATCAAAGATACTGGAGTTAAGTAATTACCTAAGTGTAATTACCTAAGTGTAGTTACAGGATGAGAGCTACGCTCGTGGTGTCCCGTCTTCCCAGCACTCTTTGTCATATAATGCTTTGAAACTACTGACGGTCTTGGCCTCCACCACCTTCTCACTTAACTTGTTCCAACCGTCTACCACTCTATTTGCGAAGGTGAATTTTCTTATATTTCTTCGGCATCTGTGTTTAGCTAGTTTAAATCTATGACCTCTTGTTCTTGAAATTCCAGGTCTCGGGAAGTCTTCCCTGTCGATTTTATCAATTCCTGTTACTATTTTGTATGTAGTGATCATATCACCTCTTTTTCTTCTGTCTTCTAGTTTTGGCATATTTAATGCTTCTAACATCTCCTCGTAGCTCTTGCCCTTCAGTTCTGGGAGCCACTTAGTAGCATGTCTTTGCACCTTTTCCAGTTTGTTGATGTGCTTCTTAAGATATGGGCACCACACAACAGCTGCATATTCTAGCTTTGGCCTAACAAAAGTCATGAACAATTTCTTTAGTATATCGCCATCCATGTATTTAAATGCAATTCTGAAGTTAGAAAGCATAGCATAGGCTCCTTGCACAATATTCTTTATGTGGTCCTCAGGTGATAGTTTTCTATCTAGAACCACTCCTAGATCTCTTTCTTTATCAGAATTCTTTAAAGATTTCTCACATAATATATAGGTTGTGTGGGGTCTATGTTCTCCTATTCCACATTCCATAACATGACATTTATTAACATTAAATTCCATTTGCCAAGTGGTGCTCCATATACTTATTTTGTCCAGGTCTTCTTGAAGGGCATGACAGTCATCTAAATTTCTTATCCTTCCTATTATCTTAGCATCATCAGCAAACATGTTCATATAATTCTGTATACCAACTGGTAGATCATTTATGTACACAATAAACATCACTGGTGCAAGAACTGAACCCTGTGGTACTCCACTTGTGACATTTCTCCATTCCGATACATTGCCTCTGATTACTGCC